TTATCAATATATTTAGTAATATCTTGATAAAATTCATCATTAAAATAAACTCACACTTAATCGTCATTATTAATATCGTAAATATAATACTATATCGGTTGGTGTATTTTTATTATATTTAAATACCACGTATCTATATATCATTAAAAGCGTAAAATTTATTATTTATTGAATGTATTATGGATATTAGATAGAGACGAGTATTTATCGAGTGATATTACTAATGTGTCGCAATTAATTCTAAATGAATCAAGTAATAACTTATAATTAACAAAAAACACGATAGGTATTGACAAAAAATTATAAATTCGAAAAAAATTATAATAGATATGAATTTAAGAAATTAGTTACTCAATTCTCATCATACTGTATATAATAAATAAAATTTGAATAACGGGTATAAGATTTTTACCGGCGAGATAGGTGGTGGATACAATTTTTTTTACTTATTTCAAGTACGATACATATATAAATTTATATTTTTATTAGTCAAACACGTATAAAATTAATGTACTTACTCGAGACTTGTCCAATATCCACCTCCTCGTATGTGTCTCGGACTCATTTCTAGACTTTCGGGTAGTCGAGAACTCAGCAAAACTCACACTTAGCCTCCTTTTAGGAATTTTGATGAAACTAATTAGTTTGTCGTAGGAGAACAAAGAATTATTCCACGAATTCAGCTTCTTTCAATGGGCGAAAATGGTGAGATAAAACGGCGACGTTTGATCTCTCTTGCTCCTCCCTACACGGCCAATAAAATCAAAGTGACGAATCAGTGGGCCCCTTTGGAGCCTCCCTAATTGGATCAGCAGGAACCGCCAAGTCATCATACGCCACAAATTTTTTCCACGTATCGTCACCGCCGCTTTTCACGGTCTTCCAACCATTCGATATCATCCACGCGTCCTTTTAAAAATTAATTAAAAATCGAAAATGTCTTTTTTTGGTTTTTCCTGTTTTGAGTTTCGGGGGTTTCCCTTTCTAGTCTCTTCCGTTTCTCCGGGCCCCGAGAAACCAATTAGAACTCGACACGTGTTACTTTGACTGATACAAGACCTGCATTGATCATTAATGAGTATAAGACCTGATATATATAACTACAGACTGCATAAACCAGAGTGTCTTGGGATGGCTTTGAATTTTTTTTTTAAAAAAATTATAATAAATTTAAAATGCAAAGTTTTAATAATTTCACATAAAAATTCTATATGGGTTTAATTTATATTGTTATATATATATATATACATATATATAGATATTTAAATGGTAATATTATTATTAAAGCAATAAAACCCAAGTGGGTCGAATTACCTTGAAAGTGAAAAAAAAAAGAAGAACAACTTGTTAGAGCTTACTTAGAAGAAAACCCAAGTAAAAAAAAATTAAAATTAAAAATAAATTAAAATCACGATATATAAAATTAATAATTTTATATTTTATTCGAACGATATAAATTTAAATTTTATATTTTATAATATATTTCAAATTTTATATATATATATATATATATATGCTAAGCAACACACATAATATGATATTGTGAAAATGAAATCCATATTTACAAACAAAATAATTTGAGTGATTTACTTATAGATTCTTAATTCAAGAAGGAATAATTATTTTTCTAAATTCCCACAGAATTTAATATCATGTCAAATATATTCTTAAATTTCTTTAAAAAATTACGTAAATCATATTATCAATTGGTATTTAAAAAAAAATAAAAAATTACAAGTGGAGTAAAAAAGTACCCACCAACTAAACCGGGCAGTAAAAAAAAAAAAAAAATACCAGACAAAACAAAGTGGCAGAGAGAGAGAGAGAGAGAGAGAGGTGGGGAGTGGGTGGGGGGGTCGGGGTGGTGGTGGTGGCGGTGGTGGCGGTGGTGGTGGTGGTGGTGGTAGCTACGTGAAGTCATGTTTGGTCGGTGAAAGCGCAGTTTCCTCCAACGTTAATTTTTTGTTTTTTATAAAAAATTTATACTTATTTATTATTTTAATAAATATATTAAATTATATTATTTTAATTTTTAAATAATATTAAAAAATTATTACAGAAGAAAACAGAAGCACCCATCGCGGCCTTACCTTTCTCTTCTCTATCCATATATACCCCCTCACTGTCTTCTCCTTTTGTGCTCACACTCCAAACACGGCCAAAGAGTTTCATCTACTCCATTCTCCCTGGTTCTCTTCTGCTTCTCTCCGAATTCTGAGAAATAGTTGAGCGATAATGACGAAGGATGCAGGAGAGCATGGATCCTTCTCTGCAAAGGATTACCACGACCCGCCACCGGCGCCGTTGTTCGACGCCGTGGAACTGACCAAATGGTCGTTCTACAGAGCCTTGATTGCCGAGTTCATTGCCACTCTGCTCTTTCTCTACGTCACTGTCTTGACGGTGATCGGGCACAAGAGCCAGCACGCTGCTGACCAGTGCGGCGGCGTTGGGATACTCGGCATCGCTTGGGCTTTCGGAGGCATGATCTTCATTCTCGTTTACTGCACCGCTGGTATTTCTGGTGCGTTCCTCTTTCTCCCTGTCTTTTCTTTCACGATTTGGATGTAGATTACCACGTTTTCCTTTCCCTTTCCTTTCTTTCGTGGTTTGTTTTTCTTCTGATTCGATTTCACGGTGCTTGAGCATTTTTTGTTTTCTTTGTTTGTTTACTTTCTCACTCTCTGTTTCTCTTTTTTGTTTTACTTTGAGGATGAGCGGTCTACTCTGTCTCCATTTTCCATATATTTCTTGTTTGGATGGACGGAAAATCTCGGAGTTTTTCTTCAGTTTTTTTTTTTTTTTTTTTTAATGACTGTTTCAAATTCTGGATAGTTTCTGTTTTTTTTTTTGAGCAAGTTAGCATCTACTGAGCATATTCACTATAATACGCCGCAGGTGGTCACATAAACCCGGCAGTGACTTTCGGTCTGTTCTTGGCCCGGAAGGTGTCTCTGGTGCGAGCCGTGATGTACATGGTGGCTCAGTGCCTTGGCGCCATCTGCGGAGTGGGTTTGGTGAAGGCTTTCCAGAAATCGTTCTACAACAGGTTCGGCGGCGGCGCCAACACCCTCGCAGACGGCTACAACGTAGGCACCGGACTGGGTGCGGAGATCATCGGAACCTTCGTTCTTGTCTACACTGTCTTCTCCGCCACCGATCCCAAGAGAAGCGCCAGAGACTCTCATGTCCCTGTAAGCACCCGATCTTTGCCCTCGCTTTAAATATATTTATTTTATGGTGCTTAAATATTTATCATACATACATTTTTATAAGATATTATGTTTGAAATAATTTTTATAATATGTGTTGATAGTTAAAAAAATTACGAAATTATTTATTTTATTTATGAATTAGTTAATACGCTCTAATAAAAAAGTTGTTTTTAATATATACTAAACATACGCTAGTTTATCGGTTAAAAAATTTTTATGTTTTATTTGAAAGTTTACGAGTTCTAACATTATTGAATTAAAAATATATAATTCGTCACTTTTGTAATTGTATTATAAAATTAGTTACGACTGACTTATAATATTTTATATAGTAAGACCGGAGATTTAGTTAATTAGTGTGTCAGTTAGACTCTGACGATCAAGTCGGATTTAAATATTTGATCTAATATGTTTGTATTACTTTTCTTATTTGAGGAAAAAAGTAATGGAAAAGCTATAAGCCGAGTGGAAGATGTGGAGATTTTAATGAAAAAGACTTATGGTTTAGTTTATAAGCATAAATCAAGCAAAAGTAATCAATGTTGTGAGTCTAGCAGGACCATATCTACTTATTTAAAGCACTTATACAATTTTCAACAAGAACAATACTAACTTTATAAATGGTTTTATAAAAAAATTTGTAAACATAAATGTAAAGGGTTAATAGTTTCCAAAAAAGTTAAGCAGTTTCAATTGAGGGTAATCAATAGTAAGTGATCTTGAATTCAGCATGTGTGTGTTAAATCATGATAACTTCTATAGAAATCTAAAGGGTCAAAAGGAAAAGCTTTAAGATTCCTATATTCAGTGCATCTGTGTGTGTGTATATATGTGTGTGTGTGTGTGTGTTCTTATACTGTTGTTGGGAAGAGAAAAATTGAGAGACAGTATACTTATATTATTATTAGTTACAGTAGAAGTAGACAAAATATAGATTGTGTTTGATTTTGTTTTGGAAAAAACTGAATCAAACAATTGTAATGTCAAAATGGCATTAGATAAACCAGAAGATAAACTAAAAAACAATACGTATGATGTGAATTTTACACCACAGAATCATAAAGAAGTCTGTCAATTACCCTTTTTATTCCAATTTTTTTCTTCTTTTAATGGAGAAAAAAGTGGCACCTGATGATGATGATGATGATGAGAGAAGAAAGAAATAATAACCAGAAAATTTAAAGGGATTAAAATATAGTTGATTGATTTTGTGGTTTCTTTTAGATGGCAGTTCTTGGCATCTTCTTGTTTGCTTTCACCAGAAAAAGGATTCCCCACTTTTAATTTATGTCTCTTTCACTTTGCTTTTAGGTTTCATCAGTGCTGGGTTGAATTTTTATTGCTTAAACTTGACTAAAAGTCTTTTGGTTCTGTAAGATTCCAACTTGAAGGTTGGTTTCTTTATGATGATCAAAAGGTTATTAGGGTTTTTGGGAATTTTGTCCAGTTCTAAAGTGTCCTGTTCTATCTCCCATGTGGGAGAATCCCGTGATAGAATTTCCAGCTTCTTCTGGCATGACATGTTGAGTTTCAGTTATTTTTCAATTCAATCCTATGAAGTTTATTGGTTGTAAAGTCCAATTTGTATGCGTCACGTGTTTGTCTCTTTGTCACAAATTCATGGTCCCAACTTTTAGTTTCCACCTCCACAACTCACATGTCACTGCAGATCTAAAAACTCTCGTTCTTCATGTATGACATTTTATTAGGAAATCTATTCCAACACCGACCCAGTATCCTTTTATAACATATAACTACTGGGTAAGTTTTATTTTTCGCCATATGATTTTGCCAAACCAATTTCTATGTTTACTTCATAGCTTGATTCTGTCTGTCTATGATTGCTCATGTACATGCTTTGCATGATGAGTTATTAGGGGTGTTTATCCTATGTCAGTTAAATGTGAGTATCAATTGAGTTTGTAGTTTTCTGAGTAAGAAAACTGAAACATTCCATGTGATGATGGTTTGTAGATATTTTACACCTATAACCCATAATCACATGGATGTATATTTTACCAAATCCATGAGAGATTCTTCCCAGTACGTGCAGTAAAGACTTGTGGTGGCTGATTAATTGATTTCCCTTCTTTTGTTTTTGTCCACAAATTTTTCACTTTACTACTGTTTAGAGAACTTATGAATCTGTGTAGGACTACTTTTGATGATCACATGATTAATAATGATATTATCTGTGGTTGAAATTCAAGGTTTTGGCTCCACTGCCAATTGGGTTTGCTGTATTCATGGTTCACCTGGCCACCATTCCAGTAACTGGCACTGGCATTAACCCAGCCAGGAGCTTCGGAGCTGCTGTCATCTTCAACGACAAAAAGGCCTGGGATGACCATGTTAGTACACATTAATTTCTCATCAACACCATTAAAATCATTCAAAATCTTCATGTTTATTAGAAAATGATAATATCTGATTTGGAATTCTGCTTTGGTCAGTGGATTTTCTGGGTAGGACCCTTCATTGGTGCAGCAATAGCAGCCTTCTACCACCAGTTCATCTTGAGAGCTGCAGCTGTCAAGGCTCTTGGATCATTCAGGAGCCAAAGCCATGTCTGATTTCTGATCCTACCCATCATCTTCTTGCTTCCTTGTTACCTAACTTATTGTTTTTAATTTATGGGGGGAAGAAGAAGAAGAAGAAAGAAAGAAAAAGCAGAAGAAGAGTTGAAAGAAAATAATGGGGGAGAAAAAGTGCTTTTGTGGTTGTGAAGCTTTTACCTTTTATTTATGGGGATGGTAAATGTGATGGGGAATTGTAGATTAAAGTCTCCTTTTTCCTTTTTTCTTAAGAAAAATTTGGTGCCTTTTGGGTATCTTTGGTTTTCATTTTGGGTTCCATTTATAGGGCACTTGCCTTAGAATTTACTTTCACAAAGTGTTCTATCACTATCTCTTCCTTTCTATATATATTCTCTACTTTGGTACTCATTAATATTTTACCATGCTTTTATCTCTACTCTCACTTCATTTGTTAGTGTCAGATCATACAAACACATATAATTATATATATATATATATATAGTGGGTATATCTAAATAAAAACTTAATTATATATATGTGTGTATGTATGTATGTATTTGGTGTAACTTTTCTCTTTGGTGTCATCTTAGTGGTTCTTATTCTCAACCTATCCTAGTAGGTGAGGTTCTCCACTCATAATCTAAATTTGTCCAAGTTCTTCTTAATCTCTTGTAAAGGTTACTGTTAAATTTCCAAATTAACTAAACTTTCACACCAATATCATCATAATATATCATGGTAATTATGGAATTTGATAATAACTAAGCTTATGATATATATTAATTAAACATGCATATTTCACTTTATTGAAAATTAACAATTTTATGATTCCCTCCACATATATATATATATATATGCTTTATGTTTTGAATTATACCCATAACTTTATTTATTCCAAATTTGATTATCCCACTTTAATTAATCTATATATATATATATATATATATTACTTGATTTTTATCTACCATTTAGATGAATTCAACATACCAACAATTTTTTTAAGAGATTATTGATTTGAGTCAGATAGATTTTACTGTATTTATTTATTTTAAAATTATTTATATTATATTATGATTAATATATATATATATATAATAGAATTAATGAATATATAAATTTATTTAAAAATATATTACAAACATCATATAAAAACAAATTATCACTAAGATCCACTTCACTTATAAGCAACTAATTTATAGTCATTATCTTTCTTTGCCATTTATATAAGCAATTAAAAGTGTACACCCTTTCACCTCTGTCTTTTTCAAAATCATTTTTTGTTTAACAGAAAATTGAAGTTTAAGCAACCAGCCCCTCCCCCTCCCCCTCCATACCCATATACATACATACATATACTTATGTGTGTGTGTGTGTGTGTGTATATACATGTGTGTGTGTGTGTGTGTGATTGTGTATATATAGAGGAAGACCCAGATTAGAAAATGTAAAGGAGAAGAAGAGAGAGTAGAAAGAAATGGCACCCATCACCACCATCTTCTTCTTCATCTTCTCCTCCTTTTACCTTCTTTTAACACCTCAGACACCACCACTGTTCTTTCACAGTTTGAGCTCTGATAGTCCTCTGGTTTCTTCTCACATGGCCTTTGGTTTTCTCATGCCTGATTTCTCCATGCTTCTGTAACTTCCCATTTTCACCATTCACATGCCGCTAAATGGTGAATTACCTTGTAGATGCAGTGAATTGGTACATTGGAGTAAAAGTTACTGTCACTGAATAAAAAGTTACTGTTACTGTCAGTGAATAAAAAGTTACTGTTACTGTCACTGTAGTTTTTTTTTTTTTTTGTCTTTTCTACTTATAAGTTCTTTTGTCATAACAAAAAAAAAAAGTGAAATTATTAAATTAACTCTCCATGTTTAGTACTTGTAAAAATATTTATTTCCTTACAATTTAATTCCTCAAGTTTTTTTTTTTTTTACTATTTACTAATAAAAAAGATATAATAATCTGATTATGTTTGAATAATTTAAAAGTAATTCAAGATAATAATTTTAATTAATTAATTAATTAATTTGATAGATTATAAGTTAATAATAATGTAAGATATTTTTATTATTATTGATTTATTAATTTAATTAATTAGTTAAAATTATTTTTTTAATGATTTAATTATTAAATTTTGTTTGTGTTAGAAAATGAATAGAATTAAGTGTTTAAAATAAATAAATTAAAAATTAAAATATAATAAAAAATATTAAGAATTAAATTATAATAAATGTTAAATTTTAAAAATTAATTTAATAATTTTAACCAAAAATATTATGATGAGAGAAATGAGAATCATGATGTAAAAAGGGTTAGTGATAAAATGGGCCGGTTGTTGGGCTTGTGGGCCCGTTAAGGGCTTGTTTGGATCTGGGTTTTGCTTTATCATTAACCTGAATATGAATTAGTTGGAGAATGGAAACGATAAGATTAAAGAAGGGCAACCAAACATTCAATCGGGCATGGCCCCTGGCCTATTAATCCTAACCGCCAATTCTTAGTTTCCTAATTCCTAATCAACTATTTTCCTATTTAAATCCAAAATTAACTGTTAATTTCGTTTTCACGCCTACCTAATCAAAATTTTATATTTTAGGAAACTGCACTGAAACGACGTCGTCTTAGCTGGCTCTTCCTACTTTTGACTTTCCGCCTCCGTTTCCCAACCTCGTACGCTTTTCCATAAACGAAAACTTACGTCCTCTGGGTTCAGAATTGAACGTCGAACACCGGATAACTAGAGATCAGAGAAGGGAGGAGGAAGAGGAGAGAGATGCATCTATGGCCATCAGAGAGGATTAGAGACTCGTTCAAGATTGCTTACTTAAAAAAACTTGAATGGAATCTTCATCGGATGAAGATCGAGAAGGAAACGCGGAGCAGTGAGGAGAAACTACTCTTGGAGAAAGAAGCATCCACTTCGAAGAATCATTGCGTTCCTCTTGCTATTTGCAGGGAGATTCTACTCGTTCTCTCTTGCTGCTACTGTTGTTTCTGCTGTGGAGGTACTTCTGTCTATTCGCCGGTTTTATGTGCTTCTTTGTTGGAATTGAAGCTTTCTGTACGCGTTTCTCGGGTTTCCGTGACTTTAATTTTCGATTTAATTTTCTTTTTAAACATGGATTCATTGGGTTCGCGGTCCTCTCTTTCGTTTGCGATGGAAATGAAATAGAAGTTTTCTTATAGTCTATATATGTTACATTTGATTTTAATTTTTTGCTGTAGGTATCTTTTTAAAATGGATTTTAGCTTTGGCGTTTTCTTTTTCGGGGAAAATTGGTTTAAGTACTCGCTTCGTTCTTGATCAATGAGATGGCTACGGGTTGAGTTTGGGAAAAGTCACTGGAATTTTGATGGTGTGCCTTCTGGGACTGAGAAATGAAGAAAATTGGATTGGTCGAATATGGAGGTCTTACTGATGAGATTTAAAATGCTAAAGGATTTAGCTGCTGTTTTTTTTCGGAGAAGTGATTGCATTTGGTTTTCTATATAGAGAAAGCACGGGATAGAGGCTAGGACCCTTCTTGCAATGGGAGTAATTTGTTTTGACAGTACAAGACTACGTTATCAAGTAGAAGGGTGAGTGAGAAGCAAGTCGTGCATGGAAGATTACTTGCCAGCTTTAAGAATTGTAGGGAGAGTTTAGCTAGAGTAAAAGAGAAAGGAATAAGGTTGAATGTTTATTTAGTTAGTGAATACCTGTTTACTTAGATAATGGCCTTAGATTCCTACAGCTGTGATACTGGTTTTGATTTCTATCTTATATGATGAGTCTACAGATTTCAATTTCGGCAGAACTTTTTTTTTTTCTTTTTCTTGTTTATGGGGACGGCAGGGGTGGGGGTGTTCACTTTAGCTAGGATTGATGAGCAGCTATATCATGTTGATTTACATATCTTCTCATTTCTGAGGATGCTGCGATTGGATTCCTTTTCTTCCTTGTTAGTAATTCTTTCTTCTCCAAAGTTTAGGATAAGGCTCTAAAGGAGAAAAGAAAATGAAATGAAAATTTTATCTAACTCTTGTTTTTATGGGATGAATTTGAGAGAAGGTTTTTTTGAACAAACTTTCAAAACATCAATACTGCATTTTTCTGAAGATTTAGTTGAGCACTATCATTTTGTTTCTTACGACATTTGACATGAGAATATCTTAAGCCAAGGGCACATATAATTCTGATCCTTGCACTTAAAGGAGTTGTCACAGGGTTGGCCAAACCTTTTTAACTATTCTTTCCATAGATATTTAAGCTTACTTTTTGTCTTTTTTCTCTTATGGTTGTAGGTTTCTATGCTTTTATTTATTTTATCCTACGATGCTCGGACTATTCAATGTTAGTGTTACATCCATGTCAGAGAAGACATGATAGTGGTGTGGGTGTGGATGTGGCCGACACTTGATGTACAAACAGATCATGATCTAGAACCATTAAGATGGTGAAAACCCTTTGGCAGAAGCTGAATCTGAAAATAGAAATGAAACTACTTGTGTTGAATGTCGAAATTTGGAAAACTTTTTTTGAAATAATACCCAATCAGTTATTTATTTCTAATAATTGTAATTTTTCTCCAGTCACTAAAAATATGAAATTGCTGTTTTTCCAGATAAAAGTTGAATTCTGTTATACGTCTGAAATTGTCTTAACTTTCTATCTTATATAGGCTTATATTTTATTATTATTATTAATATCAAACAGGCTAAAGTATGATATCTAATTTTTTTACTCTTATTAATCGAGGGCCTATATCTTTGACTATAAAATTGTCAAGTTAGACAATTTAGATCTGTACTCAATTGGACACTTGCACCCGAGTCTGAGTTTCTCAGATTTATCACTAGACTGTTCTTTTAGGGGTTAGAATATCTTCATGTCAACTTTTGCATAAGAGACTTAATTCTTTTTTATCTGGTTAAAAACAAGCGGTTTATGCCAGGAGTAGGAGTTATGAAGAGATCCCTTGTATCCTTGCCTCAAAGAGATTAACTTCTAAATTTGTCCTACAATTTGACACTTGCTTATTAGTAAGCTGAGAATCACTACTGTGTTGAATTAGTATAGAAAATAATAAAACCTAACATCATACCCTGTTATTGCCTGAAAGCCAATTGAGAAAACTTGAGTAGACATTGAGTGGTTGTATTGATGGAATGGATCAACTATAGTTAAAAGGGTGGTGGTGAACAGTTGTAAAGATTAGTGGACTGCAAGCACTTGAAAGATTTTTTTTAGCACTCATGGGGAATATATTACCTTTGAAGATTAGTAAGAGCTCGCTAGGAAGAACCTACCGGTCTCAAGTTTAGAAGAGAGAAAATTTACTAATTTTTCTTTTTGGATGGGAGACACATGAGCTTTTCATTCCCAAAATAGCCAGTTAAGGACGTCTGAATTAGTGCAAGACTAATTGTGACAGGAACCAAGATCAGAATACTCTAAAGAACTTGAAATAAACTGACAGGAAAACAGAAAATAAACTAATCAGATTGCCTTAACTTTTCTCTTCATCCAGCCTTGTGTAATACCTTTCTTGGTTTATTTTCCTTGCTGACCTGTACCGGCTGAGATCTTCAGCTGATCATAATGATCAGTCTATTTATTTGCAGAAACGGGCAGGCAGGATCAAGGTAAAGAGTTTGGAAAAGGTTGTGTTAGAAATGGGATCAATACACCTGCCTTGTTTTGCCCCTCAGAAACTCTTTCCATTTGCTTTGGGAGATGGGAGTTGCTTGTGATTAGCCCATACAGAAATGAGCATGATTTTGAGGAAAGATAATTGAACATGGATGTCATCTGTGGAGTTATTTTGTTGATCTTTAAGTTATCTATTCAATTGATTGACAATTCTGTTGTTCACCTTCAAGATTTTTCGTGCTCTTTTTGTTTTCGTCACTTGAATTTATTGACAAGCATCTCTATAATTAGTGGTGTCTTTCCAACTTCTCCTATAAATATTCACTCTCCTGTGCGTCCATCCTTTGCGTTTATCAGATTCTTCAATATGTCTAATAGTCGTATATATTAAGCTTCTTACCATCTGATACAAAATTTCTATCTTTCAGCTTGCGTTGGTGAAGAAGACAACTGACTCAGTAATTCGGCAGGCACTTGATCATTTAATTGATCCTGGCTATGACAAGATCGTAGGCATTGGTAGTAATTAACTATATTCTTGTACAGTTTCGGGTACTCGTAGTTATGTTTGCCAAGTCGCAAATCTATGAATTTGATATAATCGAATGACAATGAACCGAGTAAAATAGACTTCGAGCTTTCTCCTTAGATTTGTAAGGCTTTCTAAAAGGGTGTTGGGCCTTTTTTAGAGGTCCTTGAAGTTTTTTGGGCTGACTGTCTTAACTTGGCCTATTTAACATATTTCTACTTCACCCAATTCAATAAATATATCATTAAATAACCCCAACTCCCCTCTCAACTAATTGAACTATTTATGGAGGCCTACCTATGAAATTCAGTACCAGAGGATTAATTTCCTCACAACACAACAACCATTAATACCTCCCCTCCATCTTGTGCTGACAAACAGAAACTCATACGCACACACTCTCTCTTCCTTTTCTCGTGAGTTTGGTTGTTGGGAGTTGCATCCTCCACCGGCCTGCCGCACTTTAGGGCGAGACAATGCCGCTGCATCCAGTGGCGGAGGCCGACGACAAGAGCCCCTTTGGCTCGCTTACGGCAGATGAGTTCTACGCCCGTCACTCGGTGAGTCACTCTTCCGAGTTCATCACTAACCCCCGCGGTCTCAGGCTTTTCACTCAGTGGTGGACCCCGCTGCCCCCGGCCAAGCCGATCGGCGTGGTCGCCGTCGTTCACGGTTTCACAGGAGAGTCCAGCTGGATGGTCCAGCTCACTGCCATCCTCTTCGCGAAGTCGGGGTTCGCTGTCTGCGCCATCGACCACCAGGGCCACGGCTTCTCAGACGGTCTCTACGCACACATACCGGACATCAACCCTGTTGTCGACGACTGCATCTCCTTCTTCGACTCATTCCGTTCGCGCCACGCGCCTGGCCTGCCGGCCTTCCTCTACGCCGAGTCCCTTGGCGGAGCCATTTCCCTATACATAACGCTCCGTCAGCCAGGCGCGTGGGACGGGCTCGTCCTCAACGGCGCCATGTGCGGGATCAGCGCCAAATTCAAGCCGCCGTGGCCGCTGGAGTACCTCCTCTCCGCGGTCGCTGCTCTTCTTCCAACGTGGCGCGTGATTCCCACACGCGGCTCCATCCCGGATGTTTCCTTCAAAGAGCCGTGGAAGAGGAAACTGGCGATAGCGAGCCCGAGGCGGCGCATAGGGAGACCACGGGCCGCTACTGCTCAGGAGCTGATGCGAATTTGCCGGGAGCTGCAGGAGAAATTCGAGGAAGTGGAGGTCCCCCTGCTGATCGTGCACGGTGGAGACGACGTCGTTTGCGACCCCACCTGCGTTGAGGAGCTCCATCAACGAGCCACGAGCAAGGACAAGACGATCAGGATTTATCCAGGGATGTGGCACCAGTTGGTCGGAGAGCCGGAGGAGAACGTGGACCTCATTTTCGGGGAGATGATAGAGTGGCTAAAGACTCGAGCCGAGCGCGCCGGCAAAGAAAAGAACCTCGCACGCGCGGCGGAAGACGGTGGCGCGTAAGATGTTACGACGAAGCGACGGTTGTAAGTGCAAAAAGGTATGTTGCGTAATAGCCAATGAAAAGCCGCCATGTCATATAAAATTAATAATTTAGTAGAGAAATAAAATTAGATTATTTTAATAGTTTGACTCTTAATGAAAAGTTTTCTTGGGTCCACATCCGTCTAGCTTGAGTCTCCCCCACAAAAAAAAAAAAAAAAAAAAACATGAGACTTTATGATTAGTTTTAATTAATTGAGTAATTTTTTTTTTTAATAATTTGAATATATATGAAACTTTATGATTATGGTAAATAATTTTTTTTTTAATAAAACATTTTGAATGATTAATATGTTTTGGAATAATTTATATAAAATTAAAATAATAAATATAGTAGGTATATTTTTAGTAATTAAATAATTGTATGAGATTTTATAATTTATTACCTATTAACATATGAAAACTAATATACATATGTGGGTGTAATACATATATGATTAGTAATTTCACATCCATGCATCGTGGGTTATTATTGTCTCCTTCTATGTTGCTACACCTACAACATCATATACATACATATGTATATATATGTATATCATGTTTAAGACTTTGAAATTCATAATGAAAATGATTATGGCAGTGTGTTACTCAGCTCGTTTTCATACGGGTTGTCTCTGACCAATATGCTTATAATGATTATAAGCATATGAGCCTATCCAGAAACTCTCTCTTCCTCCATGGCCAAAATGTGGGCAGCAATTACATCATCTAATGTGTACAAATCCCATTGTTACATCGGGGTATCCTCCTACAACACCTTGCCAAAATATACACATAAAACAAAAATCAGAACATAACTATACCACATACTACAACACACATAATTTGCTTGTGGTGGAAATTTGACCTTTAAGACAATGGATAATATTGTAACGATTTCAGAAATAAAAAAAAAACAAATTATAAATTAAGTGCGGAAGCGAAATAAATAGTTAGAGTTTATATTTTTTACACAATGATTTAAATTAACAAATAGGGTTACGAGAATAACCATTTTGAGAGAAATACGAGAAAATTAAAGAAATAACCAGAAAACAAATAAAATTGACATCCTACTCGCAACCCTCTGGTGGATCGGATTCTGAATATTGGTTCTCTTGATCTGAAAATGGTTAATAAAGAAATGAGCTGCTAGCCCAGTAAGAATATCATGCTACTTACCGAGACAGAAGTGAAGGTTGGTAGAAATAATAAAACAACTAATGGAGTTCTTAATTTAGCAAAATCGTTTATTGTAATAAAGTCATTTACCGTCTACTTACCGTAACGAGATTTATAAAGCAACTTATAGAAACAATAACATAACACATATCATGATTTCATATGCACTTGGTTGGAACAATAATTTTCTCTTTTATTAAGTTACTAGTATTCATGGGGGTTCGTAGAGGTGTTCCTACAACGCATGAACCATTTCTTTTAACATTTTCAATTAATAGGCCGTCCTCATACCCCGTCCGGTATGAGTGCCAAATTATTAAATCTCGATATCTCGTCCGGTATGAGATAACGTTCACGGTAGGGTTCCATATGTACCTAGTCCGTCCACCATCTCTCAGGATATCCAGTAACACTGTCATTTTATCCATTCACTTAATCACACAATTTTTCGTTTACGTTTAATCTCCAGTTTTTCAATTCAACCGTAATCATATAAAATAAATAATACATGTATTCAAAACTATAAAATTGATCAATTAGATATTATCATACATTCAAATTGTAAAATAAATTAACAAAATTAACAGTGAATAATTTTCGATTCTAGCTCCATTATTAACCCGTAATTAATTATGGATATTTTTTAAATTACACAAAATATTGTATTATTGTTAATTTAACTTCAATTTCATGATAGATAATAAGGTGAAAGATTCTTACTCAAATTGATGCCCGAAATGCTAAACTTATTAACTGTGCCTACTAGCGGTCTCTGAATTTCCTAAATTTTTTTTCGGAAATTAAAACACGTTATAAGTACCTACAAATATCTTTAAAAAATTCAAAATCAGTATCAGGACCCCTTTTTGGCCAATTTTGAAATTCCTGCACAGCGGTTCCGCCGTGCTCCGGTGATGGCACTGTCGTCCGCAGCAGCAGTTTGCCTCGGATTAGCTGTTTTGGACCGATTTTGCATCATTCCTTGTGAAAAAACACGTTAAAAGGTCTCGGTTGGCCCAAAAAAATGAAAAATCAAAACTCACTGGCGGCGGGGTTCTCCAGTGCGGTGGCTCTGCTGGCTCACCTTTGCAGTTGAGTGTTTTGATACGGTCAACCTGTAGAGAAGAAAACGGTGATTACAATGGTGGAAGAATTACGCAGAACGAGAATCGGGAAGGACTTAATAGGAGACAGTTTTTACAATTTCCTATGGCGGCGTTGTCGGGTTTTGTCCGCAAATGAGAAATTTTTTACCTCTTTTGGCCGTCGGAAGTGGCTCCGGTGCCGCGGTGGGTGGCAGCGGCTTTCCTTCCCGGCGGCTGGATCCTCTTCTCCAGTGAGGGTGTCTGGCGGTTAGGGTTAGGGTTTGGTGTGAAGAGAGTTATTTATATTAATTCCCTTTTAATCTGGGTCATCAGTCACGTTTGATCTGAACCGTCTAATCGCGATTAAATAGAGAGTGAATCTGAACTGTTCATCACGATCTAATCTAGGCTGTCCGATTGTGTTTAAATAGGAAATAGATTTGAACCGTTGATCGCGTTTAAATCTGACCGTCCGATTGCGGGTACGCGGATCGTTAATATGACCTCCCGCATGGCACCACATCAGCGTTCCTTACCACGTGGCGCGCTCCGATTCGTCAGGGCTGTTGACTGGGCGTTTTACATT